CCCCCCCCCACTCTCCGTGTTGCCTCTCTCTCTATCAACAATTCCCCCATTCTTATGGAATTTCATTCTCAAAAGTAGACTTTAGCCAATGTACCTTCCAAAGGAGTCCCATTGTATTCTCCCACAGGGTTAATACCATTCATTGAGTTCATCCGATTATCAGAAAATTATATTTACTCCGGCTTCAGATCATATTAAATGTCTTCTTTCACGGAGGAATAAAGAGACCTGACCCTCAATAGCTCCATTGCGGTATATAAAGTGCAAGGTAGGTGAATATGTCGTGTTTTTTTCTACGGGTCATAAATATCGGCGATGACGAAGATAAAAACGTTGACACGGGTTTGACACAAACTCACCCTCTCCCCTTCTCTTTAGTGGATGCCTTACTCGACGCCTCTTGCAGGAGCCACCGCATACACTCCCTCTTGCTGTTTTGAAAGATTTATAAGAGACTGCGGGAGTATATTTTTCCTTGATCTTGTCTCTCCCCCTTCTTTCCTCGTGCCTCTGGACAAAGGCATACACCGTTTATACAGCGTCCAGTGTTATAAACACGATAGCCCCCCCCCAACCGCCAGCTCCCCCACGCTCACCTACTCCTCTACCCGGCATTCTCGTTATATTTCATCTTGAGTATGCTAAAAACTCCACGAGATGTCTGGGGCATATTTTATCAGTGCAACATAAACCGACGATATACCGTAGAATAACCATATATTTATGCGCCAATAACAGTGCGATTGCATGTCACACACGAGAAATTTATTCATCACATAACACGAAATTAAAAAAGATTGAAAAATTAGGAGGAAGTTGAGAGGAGAGGGAGAGTGGAGATAAATAAATGCAGGGGCTGGACAAAAGAGTCGCCATGAGAATAACATGGAATAAAATAGAATCACAGCATGGTACATTTGGTAATGCAATACAATAATCGTTTGTTCTGTTTGATGTTTTTTTTTGCAGGCTACCACCTCCGCAACAGCAGGTGACCGTTGGTTCATTGGGCAGTGGCATGGGTACTGGCAACAGTGGCAATGCCGGCAATGGCGCTCAGGGTCAGCCATTGGTCATGCCGGGCTTTCCACTACGTGCTGCTGTTGTACCACATTATTCACCCTATTCACCATCACGTTTTCACATTGATAAACGCTGCCACCATCGGTGCTCGTGGAAGTGCTTCTCGGTTGGGATGATACTACTTTTTGTTGCACTCACTGCCATGCTCGCGTATTTTATAAGTAAGTGAATGAACAATTATTCGATTTTGTCGATCGGGGAGGCTATTTTTTCAGTTGGGGATTATGGTCTTTGTTCAGAATAATCGAGTTTCTGCACGATTTATCTTCATTGAATAAATTTGTGAAACACAAAAAATATAATAGATACAGGTTTTTTTATTGTGAATAATCCTGAAGATGCAGTCGGATGGAGAAACGTCTGCGTTATGACGGCATAATGCAAACATTTTGAAACGTCTATATTTGTTTATCGAAATAGGAACATACGTGTCTAATGTTACAGAGAAAAAAAATAAGTTTTGGGATTATATCCATAATCTTCAAAAATTGATGCATGATTTTTTAAATTTTATCCTCAATTTTCAAGGTTTTTTTATGCCAAATAGAAAAAAAAAATATCATTATATTTTACTGAAAAGAATTATTATTATTTCAAATAATAGATTTTTCAGTTTTATAATTATTACATTTCATTATTATTACTATTATTATTATTTTTATTATTATAATTACAGGTATATATGTATACAACTGTATATTGCCACCGTCCTTCTAACGGCAAATAATATTAAAAACTATCATTATATTTTACTGATAAAAAGGTAACTGTACAACTGCACCTTTTACATCTCCACCAGGCGACACCCTCACCCAAACGATTTGAATATTGACAACTCTACCGCGCGAACATTACTACCCCATGATTCGAGAAACTTACATCCCCACCGTGGTACAAGCCAATCAGCGGACGAGTCGACCCGATGATGACTCACCCTGTACAACTGCACCGTGCGACAAGCCTACCCACGAATTTTTTATTTGTAACATCCTCACCGAAAGATAACTCCATCGGCAGTAATCTCCACCGGGTTTTATCCCTACCGGATATACATCCCCACCGAAAATGCATCCCTACCGATTATTTCCCGAATTTTTTCCCCCACTCCATTTTTCGACAAATTTTTGGTCAGGGTGTACTGGATTAATGGGAACGAAGGAATAAGGTAGCGGCGGCAGTTTCTGATCAGTGAAGCTCGGCGGGCTCAGGTTAAGGTGAAAAATGAGAAAACAGCAAATAAAAACGGAGTGAAACTTCTTTTAAAGTGTAAAACAGACATTTAACATCAATTAAAAATCCACTTTTGAGCTACAAATATCAAATAATTAATAAAAAATTAACATTAAGAAAATTCCGCCTTGGCGGTAGTTTATGATCACGATTTAGTCGCATGAGGTAGTTTTTGATCACGAGTGGAGGCAGTTTCTGATCATTGGGATGAGGAGAATAATGACTTAATTTCCTACTTGTTTCATCTCTAACTGATCATTAAATTATTTTTTGTTATTATTAATAAATCATCAGAGGTAGTTTTTAGCCTAAATTTCACATTTATTCAATGAAAATCAACTCGTGGCATCCCACCATTTTTCGATACTATTTTCATCGTTACAACAACGATAATTACCACCATGAGGGAAAGATAAGGTGAATATTTACATTGACAGATTATTAAACTGACATTTTCTTAAAAAACTGTCAGTTGACCTCAATTAATCCGAGCTGACAACTCATGAATCTTCCGATCAACAAATACCGACAGGTTAGAATTCAGGCGACAGTTATTGATCACCACAGTAATTATTGAAAATAATTTTTTATCTATTTTTTATCATTCTGAGTTGTTCTCCTATGATTTAACTTGAGATTTATATCATATTTATGATCATTCGGTACTTACATGGTAAAATTTGAGTGCTGAAGCTTCAGGTACACACTCAGCTCATTCCACAAGCAAACGGCGAAAATGGCCGTTTCCCGCGTTCGCGCGCTTTTACTATTTATTTTTGGCAGTTTACAGTGGTACCACTGCCACAATTGAGATCACTAGCGAAAGCAGGGATTTTATTCCTGTCTCTTATACACATCTAGATGTNAGTGGTACCACTGCCACAATTGAGATCACTAGCGAAAGCAGGGATTTTATTCTTTGCACTGTTGGTTTTACCTTCTTGATCAATTCAACTCAAACTTCGCACTTAATAAATAAATAGCCGAGTGATCAAGTACTACCTACTGATCAGAAACTGCCTCCGCTACCTTATATTTTGGAACGAATTTTTGGTCCATTCTATTGAAAAATGCCGCAGCTTTTCTGCAGTTTTTATTAATTCTAATATTCAGTAGAAATTATTTTAAAGAAAAAATTAACAGAATTTTATTTTTCTATAGAATTTATCCTGTTGAAATATTTTTTATAAAAAGTCTTCGGGTCAAATTTCTCAAATTTGTTTGTTAAAGTTTCCTAACGGAAGAATAAAAATAGGGAAGAAAAAACTTGGAAAATTCGTGTGGAGGAATTATAGCGTATTTCTTTGCGTGTTTATTCTCTGGATAACAACGGCAAGTTTCTTTAAAACGGTAGTCAATAGCATCCGTTATAATAATATAGCAAAGGCACAAGTATATCCATTCCGCAGGCTATGAAAACATGGTAGTTGTAATCAGTTGTAGAATCGAAAGCAAACAGGAATAATAGCGTTAAAGAGAGATGGAGTAATCGATTACTGGTGACATCAGTAGTCACATATGAATAAATTTTATGGATTATCGGTCGTTAATTCACTTCTACATCAACTGATTATTCAACTTCAAAAACAACAATAGGTTCTTAACCATTTGAGTCGTCCACCAATTTCGAAATTTTCTTCGAAAATGACAATAAAATGGGATTGAATATTCTGCAGGCATTGAATGTGAATGCTCAATTACTCAGAAAACCAGAAATCTTCCCACGATTTCATGATGTAGTAGTAAAATTCCGTTAGTTTCCCTGGAAAAATAAGATCTACCTCTGAATATTCGAGAAGAATGAGGCATTTCGTTCATCCGAGAAATCATCAAATTCCAGAAAATGCCATTTTTCCGTACAATTCAACATGAATATCAGGCCTTGGCATCAAAGCTTACAAATTAAGCCTCAATTCAGATTATCATTTTGGAGCTGAATAAGGGTTGAGTCAAGTTTGGGTCCTAGCCCTGATTAACCCTCTAAGGTGAATTTCAATATCCCCATTCTACAAACAGAAAAACCTAAACGTAAATTACGTTTCGATAAACGTAGTTTACACTTAACATCAATATGATGTCTGGTGGCTTTTTTTCCGTCATGAAAATCGGAATTTAGACTTTAAAAAAACGTATTCTACCGTCAAAATAAAAACGTAAATTACGCCTAAACAAAGCGTATTTTACGTTTATTAAAACGTAAATTACGTATATCAAAAATACGAAAAAATAATCATCATTTACGACGATTTTGAGCGTAATTTACGATTGCGAAATCGTAAATTATATTTATGAAAACGTAATTTACGTTTATAATTCACGTTTATAATTGTCGTAAATTACGACGATTATAAATCGTAATTACGACGATTATAAATCGTAATTTACGACAATTATAAACGTAAATTACGTTTTCCGCGTAACGTAAAACGTAATTTATGAGTGCAAAATCGTAAATTACGACGATTATAAATCGTAATTTACGATTTTGCACTCGTAAATTACGCTCATAATCGTCGCGAATGACGTTTATGTAATCGTAATTTACGGCGATTTTGAGCGTGATTTATGCTTCAACTTCAAGCGTAAAAGACGACTTCTTAAACGTAATTTACGTTTAGGTTTTTTTGTGTGTAGCGCCCAACTACGCTTTACTACGCTTTTCACCTCAGAGGATCAAGCATTTGCGAGCATTCATTCAGGGGTTGATGACATGATGAGTCTTGTTTCCATCGTCAATTCCTACCTGAGAGTGAGAGAGAGAATATCTACCTGTTGACTTTTACCTGACCGTCACCAGTTACGACTGGAAATCACTACGATGATGAGACAAACCGGAGATTTAAGTATCTCCCATTATTAAATAGGTTGGGATCGTGATGTTCGGGATAAGGTATTGAAATACGCCGAAAATGTAACGCGTAAAGGAGGAGAGAGACCAAGTTACACTAATTAAACTATTTATTCAGTAAGTGACTCAACGTCGCGTGGACCAAGAGTAAAACCCGTCGGAGAGAAAATAGGAAAATAGAAATGTAGAGAAATTGGATAATAAAGGACATTGACATTTACAGTTGGTTGATTGAGTTGGGGGAATTGGAAGAAATGCTCTGTGGTTGAGTCTGTTCTCTCTGCTAGGCTCTGCGAGGGGGCCTCAGTGGCTGATCGAACGTTGATCACTCAACTGGGCTGTAAGGCCGTGAAGATGATCTACATCGTTGAGTAGGGAACTTTTCTGTTCTTTCAATTTAAAGTTATCTTAGAATTACCTAAATGATCATGATGGTTGTAAAGTTTGGACTTTTTTAAAATGAAAAACGACTAATTTTTGTGTAAATTCTCCCATGAAAAACAATCTTCTCGAATCAATAAGAAAAAAAACTGAGTCAATAATCCTCCTCTACACCGAATGCATCGCACTCAAAACGTCGAGAGAAAAAATTTTCCCAGCACTGAAAATTTGTCATTCAAGAGCAAATGGCTCAAGAGAAATGAATGACCATTTGAGTGTCTCCTGAACTACCGGAAATCTGTTGTACGTATTCCAAGAGTTGTAGTTGAGGATTTTTGGGATGGGAATCACGTACGTTCTCACGAGTCACTCGTAAGGGTGTGCAGTACTGCCGCTGTGTGTGGCCAATGGTGAATGCATAACTTGAGGCACTTGCCTACATTCTCGCCTTGTGAAAATTCGTACCCCCCATTCCTCATCTCGTGTAGTTTATCGCAATGAGTCTATCGGCTGTTAACGGCCCCGGCCACGGTAATGATGCTCCATACCCCGAAGTGGGTATATCGTGAGCGGAATATTTAAGCATTTTTTCCGGAGCGTAAATTCTCTTTTTTTCCACGTTTACTGGGTTTAATCGTACGAATGCATAAATGATTCGTGGGAAAATTGAGAGAAATGCAGGATGGGGTATTGATTTGGTTG